CTTGTATAATACAAGTCAGTAGGTTATGCGTAGATTTTTTCTCGAAAATCAAGAGAAATCAATAGTTTTTCTCTTTGACGCCCTTCATATGTTTCGTCATCGACTTTAGGAGCGGCGTGTAGTGAAACGTGCCCAGGTCCATGATTACGACTATCCTGAACAATCGTCTACGATTCAAAACACTGAATGAGAAAAATAAACATGATGAAAATCTAGGAAAAGGAAAAAATAGACCATAGAAAAGAAAACCGGGAAATGAAATTCAACAAGGGGGAAAACGTTTTTTTAAATAGCGTAAATATGGATGAAAACAACAATAAGTTCAGCTATAAAAGGCAGAAGAAAGCCGAGATAGGTTCACGTTTTAGAACGCCAGCTGAAAACTGTTTTACAAACTCTGCTTGCTGAAAGTTTATTTGAGACCACTTTGTCCACTTTGCGCTAAATTGCAAAGTGGTCAGTGCGGCACTGACCACTCCTAAAGTGGCACTGACAGTGGCACTTTAGGATTCAAGCAAAGTGGTTCATTCCATTTTGATCACAAATCTCATTAGAAATGCTGGTTCCAAGGAACCAGGATCAATGTCAACCGACGCAGACAGTCTCTCCTTGGAGCTACTATTTGGAGCTAAAACAATGAAATTAAATCTAAAAAAGATGTCACTGCTTTCCCGCTCGTGCAACAATTTAATGGGAACGGACTAAAATAAAAAACGCAACCAATAGGGTAAGTAATATCAGCCTCTCTGTCATATAAACGTAGGTTCTACAGATCATAAAACGGAGATTTTTGCTAAATAAAAGGTCTTGTAAAAATTCTTTAATACTGAAATATTTACAAATTCCGATAATTCTAAAAAACTTTTACTTATCATACTTCTCGCTGAAGTAATACGAACCAACCAGAAAAGGAGATAAGTTAGCCAGAAGCGTCTCGCCAAAATTTCTCGCTAAAGTATCTCAACCATATGAATAACGTTACAGAAAAGAAAAGAAATCTCGTTTGATGTTACACAAAGAGAACGGAAAAGTCATTCATCTCATCTGTGAAACTAACATATCTTCAAACTTTTGCATCCTAGATTAAAAAATGAAAATTATTTTTTTCATTTATTCCATATCGCCCGCGAAGTATGACGGACCATTTTTCAATGTCATACTCGTATCTCAAGTTGCTTTTTTACTTTCTTTCTTTGCACTATGAAGATATACACGTGTGAAAAAGCATTTTTTGAATGATACACACTCGGCTGATAAATAGTAAATGGCCGCTGTTTAATAATATAAAAGCAAGCTATTTACAACACATTCATCGTCGTCATCACTAATTTCTAAAAAAGATAAACTTCATGGCTTTGACAATATTTCTAACGGGAGCTACTGGCTATATTGGTGGACAAGTTCTGTCGGAGCTTTTGGCAAGTCGGAAAAGTCAATACAAGGTCACGGCATTAGTCCGAGGTGAAGAGAGAGCAGCAAAACTTCGAGATTTGGGTGTTGAAACAATTATCGGCAGTCTGGATGATACGAACCTACTTTCGAAAGCGTCGTCTCAAGCCAACATAGTTATTCATACGGCCGATGCCGATCATCCAGGGTCAGCAACAGCTATCGTCAACGGTTTGCTTCAGACAGCGTATGCATCTGAACGTAAGATTTTCATTCACACATCGGGAACAGGTGGCATCAGTGATAATGCTAAGGGCGCGTATACAAGCGATAAAATATATTCGGATTTAAATGTTGACGATATCAAAGCTCTTCCTGACAAGGCGATACACCGTAATGTTGATTTAATTGTATCGGCTGTCGGAGCAGATCCGTCTAATTATATTACTACCGCCATTATTATGCCGCCGACGATTTATGGAATAGGTGCTGGTCCGTTCAATAAACTATCAATCCAGATTCCTGAAGTGATTCGTTTCGGTATTCAACATCGAAAGATTTACATACCCTTTGAAGGTGAAAATATNCTATTCACGTTTAGCGGCGAATTCTAAGTCAGCGATTCAAACTTGTAGGCTGCTTTCAGTCGAGTCACAGAATTTCAATCGCTGAGCTGTAGAGCTGTAAAGGAATTAAACGTCAAGAAATTCAAAAGAGAAAGATCGGTATTCAACATCGAAAGATTTACATACCCTTTGAAGGTGAAAATATCTGGTCTTCGATACACATTAAGGACCTTGGACGAGCCTATATTCATCTGCTGGATAAACTGATAGAAAACAAAGAGTACCCTGCACTTGGTATGAAAGGTTATGACGGATATTACTTTGCCGAAAATGGGGAATTTCAATGGAGACAAATTTTTGAAAAAGTTGCCCAACTTCTGCATAAAAAAGGCCTTGTTGATGACGAAAATGTTCAATCGATTACATTCGAACAACAAGTTGAAACATTATTTAATGGAATATGTAATGGGTTGCCGGGTCAAGCGGTCTATCTTCTGTGGGGATCAAATTCGCGATCGAAAGCGGAACGATTACGAATGTTAGGATGGAAACCAACAGAAAAGGAAAGCGTTTTCGACACAATTGCTGATGAAACGGATGCAATTAGGAATAAAATTCAAGCTTGATGGACGTGCCTACAGACTTTTAAGAGCCTAACAATATTTTCCCTTCTTTCAACACCATCTTTAGTATAGTGCACTAGATCTTAAGCCAACTGACTTTTCGTGCTTTTGCTATGTATACACTGAAAAAACTAAAATTAATGCTAAAAACTAAAAATTAATTCAGAAAAACTAAAAGAAACAAAAATTCGAAATAATTAACTGCAACAATTAAACAAGCATACTGTGAAAGAGGCTATCGTCTTCATTGTTGCCAATCAAGACTGTTTTGTCTTTGCCTTTTCTTTTACTTGTTGCCCAAGAGTGTTGTACAGTATAATTTATGACAGGATTGCTTCTTAGAAACAATCGATTGAAGACATCCGGAAGATTTTCTGTGTGTTCACATTTTCGAGAGAGAAATTCTCTAAAATTACGGATGTCTCTATTACAGCTTTCAAGAGCTTCCTCAGATAACTCGCTGAGTCCAACAGAGTTGTTTCTCTGAATCAGTTCTGCAGAATGAAAAATTAGAGAGTGAACTGTCATGGAATACTCAATCCATGAAAATTCTTTAACAACCAACACTGCTAAGGCTTTAGTTAGTTGTCTAAACTTAATAACATTGATTAGTATTACAGAATGACACTGCAAGAGCGTTTTGAAAGGTTTTCGATGATTCGAGGGAACGCTTTCAACTATAGCACCTCTCAGTTCAGAGGAAAAGAATTTTCGAACTTGGTTGCCAGTAGTTGATGTTTCAGAATTACCCGTTGTATCTACCTGGTCCAGTCGAAGGCCCGTTTTTGTTTCTATTTCGCTAAGAACTAAACTTCGTGCTTTTTTAATCTGTTCTTTAATATCTCCTCGTTCGGACCGATTTAGAACATTGTCTCGAAGGTAGTACATTAATTTAAGGAGCCAAGACACTCCATTTATGTACTGATGAGTAATTGCGATAAAATGATTGTCAAGAGCAGACACTGGTTCGCTTGTGAGACCATGTCTGGTAGCATAATCATTTTTACTCTTTGTAATTTGGCTATCGACTTTAATTATTTCTTATAGAGAACTAAAGTTTTTTCTGCAGTACGATTAATAGCAAAATAATTTACATCTTGTATTTTATTTTGGTCTTTCCATTCAGCTGATCGAGTGGTGCAAAGAAGGCAGTCTGCACCACCCAAACCAGACTCCACTGTGTGGACCTTTAAATCTTTCATACTGCTTTCAATACAAACTTTAACTTCGTATTTTTTGTTGTTATAGTTAAAAGTGATGCCTTTTTCCTGTAAGCGCCTTTCACTTGGTTTAAATACACCATTCATAGCAGAGAGTAATTCTTTAGACTCTTTTTCAGCAATAAGTACCACTGGGCGACACCAATGTGAGCTGTTAGAAGTTTGATTTACCCATAAAACTTCACCTGTAGAGGCTTTTAAACTAAGCGGTACAAACATTTTGCTGAAGATGTTTGCCGTTTCTATAAGTGAATTAGCGGATCGTTGGTGGATGAAGCGGTGTTCCATTGTGAAAGCGATGGTAAGATAGTGTCAGAGTAGTTTCTGACGTATTCTCTGTTAGAAATAGTCAAATGAGAACTCGCTCTGGCCGGCCATCTCTGCTACCGGAGTGAAATTTCGTAAAGAATTTTTTGCATTTTGTTTTTCTTATAATGTTTGAGTAACGAGACGCCTAGAGATCTAGAATATCACAGATTAAAGAGAAAAGTGTGCTAAAGATTCTGAGATGTTCCTACAGTCTACACATTCTTTCA